TTCTTTGCTCTGGATCTGATTTCTAGATTTTTCTCTGCTTTACTTATCAGAAAGTTAGACTAAAAAATATAATAGCAGTATCAGTTATCATGTTCTTATTTGTTCTCTTCCACTTACCACTGCTATTGTATTTTTCATTCTAGCCTATTTGTGCTTAATAGTTGTATATCCTCTTTCTGCTCTAAGAGTCGACAACTCTTCTCTGAATTGTAGTTGTGATTCTTGTACTTGTTCTGTTTAAGGGTTACCATTATATTGTTTTGTTTTCCTGGCTTTGTCTTTTGACCCAGTAAACTTGTTTACTGATCTTAGGTTACTTTCTTATTTCACTCATCTTTGAGTACATCTTCGTGGGTTTTTTGTTATTGTTATTGATGATTTTTATTTGTTCCAGATAATTTTATAGCATCTTAATGAGTTTAATAGCAGAAACAACTCTGTATGCTCTAGTAACTTACTGAATGTTCCCAAATGGAGATGACCAAAATTCCACAATTCGTGAGAAGAGCTCAAGGTAAATAACCTCAAACTTTACTTCTATTTTCTACCGAAAATATTTGAGAGCAGGCCTCAGCAGCAGGTAGTATTCACTGTTCAGTAAGATCCTACTCCATATTCAATCACTTGGAGAATTCTACTGGAATACAACTATTTGCATAAAGTATTGTCCTTAAAATGTACTCCCTTCCCTTTCTGTACACACATTTCTTGAGAGATAAAGGCAAAAAGACATTTAGAAATGCCTCAATTTTTTCTAGTCTTTGTTAGTTCAGAAGAAATAGATCAGAGAGTTATAAATTATTTTTTGGAACCATTATATTCAAGACTACAGCTCAGGTTAGTATGAAGTTGAAAAATATGGTTGAATAATTCATTAAAACAGAACATAAGGGGCCAGCCCGATGGCACAGCAGTTAAGTGCACACGTTTGGCTTCAGTGGCCTGGGGTTCACCAGTTCAGATCCCGGGTGCAGACATGGCACCGCTTGGCAAGCCATGCTGTGGTAGGTCTCCCACATATAAAGTAGAGGAAGATGGGCGTGGATGTTAGCTCAGGGCCAGTCTTCCTCATCAAAAAGAGGAGGATTGGTGGCAGATGTTAGCTCAGGGCTAATCTTCCTCAAAAAAAAAAAAAAAAAACAACAGAACATAGTATTCAAAACATCAAAGTTATAATACTAGTCACTGGAGAAACTAGCGCACTACTACTGGACTTGAAATGACTACCTAAAAACATTAAGGATGAACTGTATGTCTAAAATTCTATAATTTAGTACCTAAATGCAGAAATTACCAGCCAGCCAAAGCAATCTGGTTTCATCCCGTCCCTATTCATTAAATACTTTGCTCTTATTTTCAATTTTTAAAAAGTCTAGCTTATATACACTTGTCTCTAATGCAGACTCCCTGACCACCTCAGAATCAAAGTATGCTTTCTTCAATCAAATTCTTTCATAGAAAAACCCTTACATCTGCTAGCAGGTGATTACCCAATGCCTCCTACTTTACTGGAACTGGAACTGACCAGGGAGGCAAGAGGTCCCACTCCAAGTGAAAATAACTGGAAATTCCTAAGCAAAGCAAAGGAAAGCTTAACTTTCATAGTTAACGAGATAAGTCAGGGAGAACTGTGAAGGCCTTCCTTATTACTATCTTCAGCAATTTCTGCATACGTTCCTGAGTCATCTGGTGACACCTTCAAGCCTGCCTAAACATTTTCAGTATTTTAGTACTAAATAATACTAGAGTAAGTACTACAATACTTATTTTAAACAATTTTCCCAGAATAAAAATGTTATAGGAAGGTAAAAGCACACAGGATGATCAACCCTGAGCTATGAATTCCTTATGGTCCTGACTCTCAAATAACACGGAATATTTACAACTTGGTACTTACTTCTAGAAGAATTTTTTATGTTTCTGCTTTATAGCCCAATTAGCTCTTTTTGAAAGCAGGGACTCAGTCTTCAAAGAGGCAATATGGTCTGGATTAAATCTGCCTCAACCAAAGCCACTATGCTTTTATCTGTTTTATATTGGAATTATGGGTAAGAGTTCTTTCAAAAAGGAGTTTAAATGTTATTATTTTACATTGTTTTTAAGTTTAAAAAAATACTTGTACCTCACTAAATTTAAAAGGACTGACAATACCAGGTGTTGGCAAAGATATGAAGCACCTAGAACACATTCATGCATAGTATAGCCATACATGAATGATACAGACATTTTGGAAAACAGGAAGTGTCTGTTAAACATATAGATAGATATATCTTACAATCCAGTGATTCTATTCCTTGGTACACACCGAAGAGAAATTAATGCTTATGTCCACCAAAAGTAATGTAAAAGAAAGCTCTTAGCAACTTTACCCATAATAGCCCCAAACTGGAAACATCAGATGTCCATCAATGGAACAATGGATAAATTGTGGTAAATGTACCTATTGGAATGTTACAACGCAATGAAAAAGAATGAACTACTGCTATCTACAATATATGCGTGAATCTAATGTTAAATGAAAGAAACCAGGCACAAAATAATAAACAGGCATGATTGCACTTATATGAAGTTCAAAAACATGCAAGACTGTTTTTGAACTTTATATACAACCTCAAATCACCTCTGGTCATAGAGGTTGGAACAGTGATTACTTTTCAGTTGAGGAGGATACTGACTAGGAAAAAACACAAAGGAGGCTCCTGGATGCTGGTAATTTTCTATACCTTGGTATGGATGTGATGACACAAGTGTATACAGCTATAAACATTCATCAAATTGTACACTGCACATTTACTATATATGTTATACCTTAATTTTAAAGAACTCATATAGTGGCACAAGTCTTGGAATAAGCATTGGAGGTTCTAGTCATGGTTCTCCCCCTTGCAATTCCTGACAAAGCACAGAACCTCTCTGGATCTCCATTCCATACATTAAATGCTAAGTAAGGTCTCTTTCCCTTCTAAAATCCATTAATTCAAAATTTCTATGAATTTCCTCAGTCTTCTGCTTGCCTGAAACATAGTAAGTATACATGCAAAATGATCTTTTCCTGATTTCCACCAAAATTTAACTTAAGTATATCTTTTAATCCCTATTCAAAGAGACGGTGGAGGGCAGTGTCTTATAGGTTTATTTTATATTAATAGAAGGAACTAGCATTAGAATCTCTGGGCCAATATACAAGCACACAGAGTGAAATGCTTACCTAGGAATACAGGTCATTAGAAATTAGTTATAGTCTATAATCTGGAAAGAACAATAAACTGTGATGATAGCAGTGTGGGGGATCAGAATTGGTAACCCCAAAATGTGTCTCTTTGCCTTGCCTTGATTATTTTTAAGGACAAAAAACTCTGAAAGAAACGTTGAGCTTCCCCCTAATTGCCTACAAGAAATGTAAGATAAAGGCCTGTACCCAGAGCAGGCCATCACCATAGATAACTCTGGGTATCTGGTAGACTGGGAGGATCCTTGCTAAGCCCACTCTTTATAAATTGTATTCACCAAACATTTGTTTTTCCATTTCCATGTGAATTGCCTTCCTCCCCTCTGAAATCCCAAACCACTACCCCCGAACATCCTCCTTTGTCTTTAGCTGAAGATGGTATTTAAGATAAGAGTCTCCACCATTTTGGTGAGTTACTCAGTTTTCCTGGGTCCTCCCATGTATACAGATTATAAAGCTTTGACTGAGTTCCTCCTGTTATTCTATCTCATGTCAATTTAATTTGTAGTCCAGCCAGAAGGACCCAGAGGGTAGAGGACATGTCCCCCTCTCCTACAGTAGCTAGAGCTAGAATTCTCTTTGAATCAATAAAAATAACCTAGAGCCACTGGAGTAGTAATGCCTAATAATTTATAGTCAATAACTGAAAGCTAGATGCAGAAAGGTGGCTGTTTCTTCCAAATTATATACGTGAGGAATCAATATCTATAAGTTCTACACACTGAAGGAAAAAAGCAAGAAGTCATTCCTTGGTAAGGGCAAGCAGGGCCCCCTAAGAAAGTACCTTGCTTTTTCTTTTTCTTACAGGGGGCATATATTACTTTTATAAATGGAAAAAAATTAAAAATAAAATAAAATTTAGTTATAGCCAACTTTTCTTCATCAGGAGATACTACCTGAATTTAACAGTAGTTTCCATTTTTATATCTTTATTCTAGGTATATAAGTTATCAAGTCAGGTTGTCAGACCTAGTCAGGGCACCCTAGTAATCACTTCATAAGAAAGGAAGAAAAATGAGATGGTTTTAGAAGTATTTGAATCTAAGAAACTTCTTGTATGGATTATGGATCAAGCTTCCAAACTTCAGGGATTCTTTAGCTTTTTATAAAAATCAAGAGATATATCCAACAGATGACAAAAGTAGCACTACACGTAATACATGCCATGAAAAAAAGCACCAGCCCATTGAACAAGGCATGAATTCTAATTCCGACCTTGCCATCTAAATTAGAGTAAATCATTTTGATCTTTCTAATTGAGTCCTCTACCTGCAAAAGGAAGGGATTGGGCTAGATAATTTTAGCCTTTAATTTTCTCTATCATGAAAAATTCCTAAATACTTGGAATTCACTACACACTCACCGACATGGTAGATGCTTTTCCTTGTATTAACTTTAATCTACACAAAAGCCAATTATCCTTTAACAAAAATATCTAGAAAGCAGAAATCAGAAGTCACTAAAATTGAATGATGGACATTAAAGCCTGAGGTCCATGAAAAAGGCCCTTCACTGCTATAAATTGGGTTTGCCTCCATAAAATATATAAAAAGGACAAGAATCCATAAACAAACAAATGAATTAAATAAATGGAAGGGTCTGTAACGAACTGGGTAGAGAAGTTTTAAAAAACTCATCGATGAAGCTATATCTATTCCAGAAAAGATCTGTAGTTTATACACACACACACACACACACACACACACACAAACACACATATCTTTATTAGCTGAATATAGGGTCAAAAAAAAAAAACATAACATTTACTCACTTTGACAGAGATACTCCCCCAGCTTTCCCAATCATCTCTTCATGGTGTAATACTGAGTGGTTCCACGGAATATGGAGGAACTTTAAGAGTGTTCTCATCCACCGTTCGGGATGTAAGACAAGTTGTTCATAGTGAACTAACATGCATTTTTTATAGCCAACCTCCATACACTGGTTATACATGGTCTCTATGGCACGATTCCACTTGGTCAAACAGTCTCTATAGCTGTTCAGGTCAAACCCAGCTATAGTAACTTTTCGAGAAATCATCGAATGTACTGATGCCCGACCATCTCGGACCATCAGGAGAAATTTGGCATTGGGGAATAACCTAGCAAGGTAAGTTAAGGATTTCAGGGCAAAAGGATCTTTATTACATAAATAAGGGGCTGGCTCCCCATGCTTAACAATGATTTCTAGTAAGAAAGCTTGCATGGCAGAATCCAGCACTTCATCGGTGACACCAGCCTCATCCAAGCGTATTTTCTCTTTACTTGACCGCGACCACATCTGCTTCAGGGCCAGGATTCGAGGAATGACCCTGGTTTCCTCTCCACAACGAATATCAGGGTGTGCATCCAGCATGGCTCTCATGAGTGTGGTTCCACTCCGAGGCACACCTCCAATAAATATTAAAGGCATATCTTTGTGATAGGCAAAGGTTTTGTTGGCTTTGATGTCCAAGCCAGTTCGCACAGTGGTCTTTGTGCTCTCCAATTTGAGGGGCTGGCTACGTTCCTCTATTCGATGATGGCATTCCATGGCATGTTGGCCCAAGTAAAACACAGTCACAGAACTAATCACCAGACATGCCAATAGTAAGTTCTGCTTCAGTTTTCCAACCATCTTGATGTGGTTATCTTGTTTTTAAACAGACAGTTTGCTCAGAATGATTTTCAGAAAATGTTCAGGCCATGGAGATTCCACTTCAGAAAGATGATCAACAACTAATAGGAAAAGGAAAAAGTTATTTTATCATCACATTAAGATTGTTTATAAATTAGTCATCAGCTACCACCATTATATTTTGGACAGAAAGAAGGTGAAGGAGTCTTAGATGCTTTGATATTCTTAGAACACAAGTAGACACAAATGCAAGAAAAATAAAACAACATTTCTAAACAGAAACAGCTTTTCTTATGTAACAATTCTGAAGCTATGTGCCTTGCACAGGATGAAAAAATAAAAATATTTTTATCAGTGAGTCAAGTAAATATTTAATATGCCCAAGTACGTTTGGAGTCTAACCCAAGCTCACCTCTGGCGTTCAGATTTGCTTCATCCCCAAGAAGTCATTATCTCCACATTCTACTGTAAAGAGAAATTACAGAAGAAATATACAACTCCCAAATCTTTCACACAGATTCAGTTTATTCATCCCATAATTTATTTATTTAGGTACTACAGGCCAGATACTTGGGCTTGGCTGAGGATAAACTTTGAAAGGGACAGCAGTGCAGTGATCAGTGCGCTAAAGAAACAAAGTCTCATGGACAGATAGATACACAAGCAATGAGAATAAAATGCAATCAGTGCCTTAGCAGAAATAAGCAAAGGGGACAATGGGAGTATAATAAAAAAGAGCACGTAAGTCTACCTGAGGAAGCTGTAACAGCCTTATAAAAAACAAGAGGGATGGGTACTCTAAGCAATAGGAACTTGTGTGCAAAAGCACAATGCCATCACAGAACACAGCATAATTAGGTGACAAGAAGTAGTTCAGGAGAGCTGGTGCATAGGGTGCAAAGAAAACTGTGTGTGTCTGATCTAGCCTTCAGAAGGACAGATAAGACTTGGACACACAGAGCATTCTAAGCTGAAGATATACTATGACCAAAGATGTGGATGGGTAAAAGCAGGGGCATGTATGGAAAATATACATGCTATGGAAAATATACCTACTATGGAACTGCTAGTTTAGCTGGAGTAAGGACACAAACTATGAAGCAGACAGCAATGAGACTACATCTACACTAAAAAAATTTACCCTGAATCCTCAGAGGGCAAGTGAGATGGTTAATTTTATGTGTCAAATTGGCTAGGCTATCGTGCCCAGTGTTTAGTCAAACACAAGTCTAGATGTTGCTGTAGAGGCATTTCTTAGATGTAATTAACAAACAAATCAACAGACTCTGGCAAAAGCAGAGTACCCTCCATAATACAGGTGGGCCGCATCGGACAAGTGAAGTCCTTCAGGGAAAAGACAGGATTCCTGAAGAAAAAGGAACTGTCCTCAAGACTGTGACACAGGAACCCTGCCTAAGTTTTAAGCCTGCTGCCCTGCAGAATTCGGCCTCAAGGCTAACATCAACTTTCATCTGACAGACAGCTCCACGGATTTTAGAAATGCCAGTGCCACAACTGCATGAGTCAATTCCTTAAAAACTCTCTCTCTCTCGAACTTCCCAAATCTAGGGATCAACAGAGAAATGTGTGTAGAGGAGGGTTTTAGATCTCCTAGATTTGTCAATGTAAAAAGACCCACCGCAAGGCACATAATAGTAAAGTTGGCAAATAGGAAGGATAAGGAAAGAATACTCAGGGAAGTAAGAAAAAAAGAGAATAACCTATAAAGGAGCCCCTATCAGACTGTCAGCGGATTTCTCTACAGAAACCCTACAAGCTAGGAGAGAATGGAGTGATATATTCAAAGCTTTAAAGGATAAAAACCTTCAGCCAAGAATACTCTATCCAGCAAGAATTTCCTTCAGATATGAGGGAGAAATTAAATCTTTTCCAGAAAAACAAAAGTTAAGGGAATTTGTAACTAAAAGCCCTCCATTACAAGAAATCCTCAAGAAGGCTCTCATACTTGAAAAAAGAAAAAAGGGAGAAAGGGGACACAATCCACAGACTAGGGAGACCGATGGATAGAACCAGAACAGGATAGCAAATATTCAACTATAGCATTAGGGTAAAAATAAGGAAACTACCAAAACAAGGATGATCTTAGCACTCTAACTACAAATTAATAAGACGAGTTGGAATAAAAAATGAAAATAATTATTTAGGAGGGAAAGAGCAAAGGGTCTAAATCAGTATTCGTCGAGTAAGTAAGAGACCACCAGAGAACAGACTATATTATACATGAGATTCTAAATACAAACTTCAAGGTAGACACTAAAATAAAGTATAGAACAGAGTCACAAATCATAGATAAGGAAAAATCTAAGGAACCCAGCATAAGAAATTGCAGTATTAAATGGGTAGTCTAAAGCACACAGGAAAAGAAACACAGGAAAACAAGATAATGAGCGACAGATTGACAGCATTAAGTCCACATGCATCAATAATCACTCTCAATGTGAACGGATTGAACTCTCCAATAAAAAGACACAGAGTAGCAAAATGGATTAAAGAACAAGATCCAACAATTTGCTGCCTCCAGGAAAGACACCTCAGCCCCAAGGACAAACACAGACTCAGGGTGAAGGGGTGGAGGACAATACTTCAAGCAAATAGCAAGGAAAAAAGGCAGGTATTGCAATTTTCATATCAGACCAAGTGGATTTCAAAATAAGTCAGGTAAAGAGAGACACAGAGGGACAATATATAATGATCAAAGGGACACTGCATTAAGAAGAAATAATGCTTATAAATATCTATGCACCCAACACAGGAGCACCAAGATTCATAAAGCAACTATTAACAGACCTAAAGGAAGATGTTAAAAACAACACAATAATAGTAGGGGACCTCAACACCCCACTCACATCAATGGACAGATCATCCAGACAGAAAATCAACAAGGAAATAGTGGAGCTGAATGAAAAACTAAAACAATTGGACTTAATAGACATATATAGATCACTTCACCCTGAAAGAGCTGAATACACATTCTTCTCAAGTGCACATGGAACATTCTCAAGGATAGACCATATGTTGGGAAACAAGGTAAGCCTCGACAAATTTAAAAAAATTGAAATAATAACAAGCATATTCTCAGATCATAATGCTATAAGGCTAGAAATTAATTACAAGAAAAAAGCTGAGAAAGGCACAAAGATGTGCAGACTAAACAACACACTACTGAACAAGCAATGGATCACTGAAGAAATTAAAGAAGAAATCAAAAAATACCTGGAAACAAATGAAAATGATAGCATGCCATACCAACTCATATGGGATACAGCAAAAGCTGTATTAAGAGGAAAATTCATCGCAATACAGGCACATCTTAACAAACAAGAAAAATCCCAAATAAGCAACCTTAAAGCACACCTAACTGAACTAGAGAAAAAAGAACAAATGAAGCCCAAAGTCAGCAGAAGGAGAGAAATAATAAAAATCAGAGCAGAAATAAATACTAATGAAACGAAAAAGGCAGTAGAAAGGATCAATGAGACAAAGAGCTGGTTTTTTGAGAAGATAAATAAAATTGACAAACCACTAGCCAGACTTACAAAGAAAAAAAGGGAGAAAGCTCAAATAAACAAAATCAGAAATGAGCGAGGAGAAATAACAACAGACTCTGCAGAAATACAACAGATTATAAGAGAATACTACAAAAAACTATATGCCAACAGAATGGATAACCTAGAGGAAATGGATAAATTCTTGGACTCCTACAATCTCCCAAAGCTCACTCAAGAAGAGGCAGACAATTTGAACAGACCAATCACAAGGAAAGAGATTGAAATAGCAATCAAAAACATCCCAAAGAATAAAACCCCAGGACCAGATGGCTTTCCTGGGAAATTCTACCAAACTTTCAGAGAGGATTTAATACCTATCCTTTTCAAGCTATTCCAAAAAATTAGGGGAGATGGAACACTTCCTAACACATTCTATGAGGCCAACATCACGCTGATACCAAAACCTGATAAGGACACCACAAAAAAAGAGAACTACAGGCCAATATCACTGATGAACATAGATGCAAAAATTCTAAACAAAATTTTGGCAACCAGAATTCAGCAATTCATCAAAAGAATCATACATCAGGATCAGGTGGGATTCATACCAGGGACACAGGGATGGTTCAACATCCGCAAATCAATCAACGTGATACACCACATCAACAAACTGAGGAATAAAAACCACATGATCATCTCAATAGATGCAGAGAAGGCATTTGACAAGCTCCAACAGCCATTTATGATAAAAACTCTGAACAAAATGGGCATAGAAGGAAACTACCTCAACATAATAAAGGCCATATACGACAAACCCATAGCCAAAATCATACTCAATGGGCAAAAACTGAACCCCATCCCCCTGAAAACAGGAACGAGACAAGGATACCCTCTATCACCACTCTTATTTAACATAGTACTGAAGGTCCTGGCCAGAGCAATCAGGCAAGAAAAAGGAATAAAAGGAATCCAAATAGGGAGGGAAGAAGTGAAACTCTCGCTGTTTGCAGACAACATGATCTTATATATAGAAAATCCCAAAGAATCCATTGGAAAACTGTTAGAAGTAATCAACAACTACAGCAAAGTTGCAGAGTATAAAATCAATTTGCATAAATCAGTAGCATTTCTATACTCCGGTAATGAACCAACAGAAAAAGAACTCAAGAATACAATACCATTCACAATCGCAACAAAAAGAATAAAATACCTTGGGGTAAATTTAACTAAGGAAGTGAAGGACCTATATAATGAAAATTACAAGGCCTTTCTGAGAGAATTGGATGACGACATAAGGAGCTGGAAAGACATTCCATGTACATGGATTGGAAGAATAAACATAGTTAAAATGTCCGTTCTACCTAAAGCAATCTACAGATTCAACGCCATCCCAATCAGAATCCCAATGACATTCTTTACAGAATTAGAACAAAGAATCCTAAAATTCATATGGGGCAACAAAAGACCCCGAATTGCTAAAGCAATCCTGAGAAAAAAGAACAAAACGGGAGGCATCACAATCCCTGACTTCAAAACATACTACAAAGCTACAGTAATCCAAACAGCATGGTACTGGTACAAAAACAGGTGCACAGATCAATGGAACAGAATTGAAAGCCCAGAAATAGAACCACACATCTATGGACAGCTTATCTTTGACAAAAGAGCTGAGGGCATACAATGGAGAAAAGAAAGTCTTTTCAACAAATGGTGCTGGGAAAACTGGAAAGCCACATGTAAAAGAATGAAAATTGACCATTCTTTTTCACCATTCACCAAAATAAACTCAAAATGGATTAAAGACCTAAAGGTGAGACCTGAAACCATAAGGCTTCTGGAAGAAAACGTAGGCAGTACACTCTTTGACATCAGTATTAAAAGGATCTTTTCAGACACCATGCCTTCTCAGAGAAGGGAAACAATAGAAAGAATAAACAAATGGGACTTCATCAGATT